AAAAGAAATTATCACCACTTCCTAAAACATTGACTTCTTCCTTAAACAATTACGTTCTATACACACACACACACACACACACACACACACACACACACACACTTTTGATAAAAAGTATTTTCTGTGTGAAAGACTTTAATTTTCCTTATTTGCAACCCTTTTTTAGTATTTTTAAATGAGGTGTTTTAATAGCGCCACCTGGTGGTCATGATCCATTTCTAATGTATCCACCCAACATAACTTCTCTTTCCTCACTTTTTCTCCTCTGTTTTGTAAGCTGTTTCTTTCATTTGTGCTCATGAATCATTTCTTTGCATTAGTGTTGCTGAAGAAAATCATGATTTTATCAAAACAAAGTAGGTTATCACAAAAAAACTAACAACAGCGTTAATGTGAGCAAACAGTAGAACCTGCACACTTAAGGGTATGCCTCTCATCAGGGAAAAGAAATGTAACTAAAAATTAACCAAAGGCTGCAAAGAAACAAAAAGGGGAGAGGCAGTAATTCCAAAATGGGCTTTAGAGAGAAAACTCACCTGATTTAGGGCAGGTTGACCAACATTTTCCTTTTACATCTGCCACATTTTCTGCCCTATGGCCAGTCTGAAAACTAAGCCACCCAGAACAGCAGGCAAATACTTCCCAGCCACAAATAATGGAATATTGAAGCCATTGATATTCCTCTCACAGCAGTGGGAACCATAGCAGGTGCTAAAGGAATTGGTTGTTTATGAAGAAATAATCAAATATTCCTTCCTTCCTAGTTTCTTCCTTCCTCCTCATTTCTGCTGCTTCTCACGCAACTACCAGCATCCCTCTCACCCAGCACCAGAGTGCTACTTGGGGAAAATAATAATAATGAATGAATTTTTTTTCCCTAAATCACTTCAACTCCAGGGACCCATTAGCAACGTATGCCCTTTCACAGATCTGGTCATTTGATCGTCAAGAAAGGTAACTTTAGAGATGATGAAATCAAGGCAAAAAAAAAAAAAGACAGGAGGAAAGGTAACTGCAGATACCTTTTTAATTTTATTTTTGCATGAAAATAAAATTTTCATGTCCCTTTTTGAGAATTAGGTCATTAAATTCATTGAAAATTCCATCCTTCGCCCAGCCTTTGAAAGTTCATATCTCTTTCCACTTTGAAACAGACCATAATGTGTATTCACGTGGTGAAAAATGGGAGGGATAGAATGAAGACTTGAGAATAATGAAGAGAGCATGTCCACCCGGAGGCTAACCAAGGGCGCCCAGGCTGCTGAAGGAACTTCCTTCCGCAGGGGCCCAACGGAAAAGTGACCTCCTAATTTAAAGATCAAAATCAGATACACAGACACACATGCACACACACAACACACGTGTACACACATGAATCCACACAAGCACCAGAGCAATCGTCTAGCCCACTGGCATCAGCATAAGGTTTCACCTCAAGTCCCCGCGCTGACCTTTTATGGAAGATGTTTGTTTTCTAGGGACAGACCTGGGACCAAGTCCCAGAGATGAGGGTATAGGGGAAAGGACCCAAAAGTTTTATGGAAGATGAAATAGAAAGAAAAAAAAAATCTTCATTTATTGGTAATTTTAGTTAACAGGAACAATAGCTTTGCATTGACAGATAATAAGTCAGGGGGAAATAGTGGTGGGGTGAGGGGAATTATATACCTGACTGTGAGGAGGACGACATGGCTGGAGCTGCCAAAGGAAGCTCTGAATGGGCTCTAAAAATAACTACAACCCAACATACTATCGCATGACTGTAAGGCGCTGGAGGCCTGCCAGAGTCAGACATGCATTCTCGCTGACCTTTTAGATCTGACTGACTCCCAACCAGACTATGAAGACTGTGACCGAGGAATGAATTCCTGTTCCTTCCTGGTGACCTTGCAGTGCCTTCCAGTAAGCTCTCCTGTGGTACAATTGTTCTTTTATCTGCACAGGAAGGGAATCTGTGATTCCTTCTGGAAACCGGAGCACTGTGGGAGGCAGGCCCACTCTCCTGGCTGCTGGAGAGCTGAGCATACGCAGGCCTGGGAAGAAGCCAGGTCATGGGGACTATGATACAAAGCTCACCTCGCCCCCAGGGTAGGTGGTGGCTTTGACTTTCTAGCTTGGTGACCATCAAACAGAAATTGTCATGCTTTTAACGGTATAAAACTGGGGTCTTTATACAGCCTGTCAGCCAAGTCAAACCTACACCTATGTTTGTAAAGAAACCTTTATTGGAACACAGCCACACTCATTCATTTAAGGACCCTCTACCACTGCTTTTGTACAACAATGGCAGAGTTGAGCAGCTGCAGCAGAGACCATTGGCCTGCAAAGCCAAAATAATTGACTATCTTGCCCTTTATAGAAAAAGGTTGCTGACCTCTGGTTTAAAAGAAGGATCATTAAGAGAAGGCCGTGTGATGTGCCAGAAGGACCATGGGAGGGGGCCTCCAGAGGCCTGGGTTCTAGTGCTGCTCTCTGTTAGAAACCATCTAGGTATGTAGCTCTGAGTGACCTTGAATGTCTCTTCTAGCTGCAAAAGATACAAAAATTCTATGGTTTAAGCGATTGTAATGTACAGGTTTCAGATATCAATTTTACTGTCCAATACTCTTCATTCCCAAAAGAAATACCATTTTTTTATTTGTAATCCAAAGATTATAGTATATGAAATAATTACACTGGAATCCATACTTGGTGCTCACACAGAAAGAAACATACACACATGCAGGCACAGACACATGCACACACACTCACACACATGCAAACATACACACACACACTGGAGCAAGGTTTCCAGCCCACTGCTCAGAGCATAGGGTTTCATGCCCAAGATCCTTGCAGTGACCTATGGGAAAGACATGTGTCTTCTGGGACCTCACCACTTGATTGAAGAAAGCTGCTGTGTCTAGGGCCTCACCATCTGCAAAGCTGTAATCAAAACATTACTATTCAGTTACCATCTAAGACACAGCTGTAGAATTATGGAGAACTGTTTTCACAAAACTAAGCAATTGCCTGGGTCTGTCTTCTGACTGAAGAAAGAAGAATGACTAATTCACAAAACACTTCATACTTTATAGCACATTTACATACAATATAATGGATGCCACCCTATTTACTTGTTTTCTATACCATCTTTATTTAGTGTTTATTTTATGAGACTTGCAAATAGTTTCCAAACATCTCTAAATCTAAGAAAAAGTTAACTGAGTGAAGCTGATTTTAAATAAGCTGTCTTAGTCTGGGTTCTCCCCAAAAGCTAAACCTGAGACAAGAGAGATTATTTTGGGAAATGATTCCAAAGAACAGGTGGAAAGAACAAGGCAGATTGAAACAGAAGGAGGAAAAAGTCAATCCAGAGGTCTTTTACTGAGCTGGTCACTGGAATGGGCAAGTGAGGAGTCCTCCTCTTGGGATGCTTTGGATTGCCTTGTAGAATGAGTCCTCGTTTGTCTTTCTAAGGAATGCCACGGGAAGTACTGTCTTCAGCTCCCATCATTGCCCCATGGGGTTTTAATTCGCTCTCATTTTGAGTGTGTGCATAGGGCAGAATGGCTAATCTGGTTTCTGCAAAGTCAGCAACAGCCTCAGAGAAGCCCCTGGTCAGAAAGCAAGAGTTCGGTGGTGCAGCTGAAGGAAGAGGCTGATAGGTTACAATCACACAGTTACTGTAGCAATGCCTGGAGTCAAAGGTAGGCTAAGAGGATGTAAGAAACTGTACAAGAAGTGATCCATGCAGCATGAAATCCTTAAATTGTACTACTCTGTCCTCCCAAGATGCCATCAGTTATGTAAATGTAACTCCAATATTCCTTCAACATCCTATGTGCCCCTGCCACATGCTGAGCACCTGGAATAGAGATGAAGACACTGTTGTTATGCTAACAAACCATTTGAATGCATTCAGATCAACACTCTCAGTTAAGAGGAGCACACAGACAATTTCTCCTGTTTACAGCGGATAGGTAGCAAGGAATGGAGGTCAACATGAAGGAAGACGTTAGAATGAAGGTAAAGCTTGAGAGTTGTTTCAAAGGACCGGTAGGTGTTTTCCAGGAAGTCAATCAGGAAGGAATATCAAATAGCCTGTGCAGAGTTGTGCAAGTTGGAGAAATCAAAATGCATGCGGGAAAATGCAAACTACCATGAGTAAGGTTAATAATAGAAATATGTGTGAGGAAATGGCTAACCATGAAGTGGAAGAGGTAGGCAGATCCCAGACCATGAACACTGGATTCCATCCTAAGAACCCTGAACTCCATCTATCGACAGTAGAGGAATATGGAAGACCGTAGAAGAGGGGGGAGTTATTCAGCTTGCTTTTAAGAAAGATAACTGTGATAACATCGTGTAGTTTATAACATCTCAAAGGAATTTCAGAGGTAAATTAAAGCTCGTGTATTTTTATGATCCCAAGATAAAAATAACTCTGCTCTGTCAAACATTTAAATTCATAGATCATACAATGTTTTTCTGTAAACGTACAGAACATTATGGCTAAATTTAACACCACAAATGAAAACCATCACAAGGCTTCATCAGAGCAGAGACTTTTGTGAGAGTGTAGGTCTGTTATGTATTATTTAGTGTTCACAGCACTTTACAATGCTGGCCTCGAAATAATTTAAACCACTGGCCACTTCCCCAGCCTTTTATTTCTGTGTGGCAATATGATAATTTAGGAAGACTAATGCCAGGACTCAGTCCAGAAATGTAGGCTTTTGCCATCCTGCTATGAAGAAAATCAGTCGTGTTGGTTTTTTGTTGAAACCAGGAACAATAAGCATCAAATAAACCACAGTGACTTTCTCAACTTAAATTCAGGAAAACACAGGAATGAATTCTAAGGTCCTTACATGAGTTTGTGCAGCAAATACAAGAGGCAGAGGCACATCACAGAGAATAAGAAGACAAACATGTGACTCTGAAACAAGAGGGGTAGAACGGAGACCAGAGAAAGATTTAAAGGACAAAGCACTGTACCTCATCAATTTCCACCTCTCCTAGAAATGGCACTCTATTTGCCCATTTGCGCGACAGTCCACAATAATTGACGTTGCTGTTGGGTAGCTAGAAAGATGACCCAGTTCTGAAGAGGCAATCCATAGACCATCAGCTATGTTCAAGCCCCTCCCACTGCTCTAGCTAAAGCCTTCATCTATTTTGGAGCCATGTCCCACTTTGGTCATCTGGTGAGGCCCGAGAATCCTTTTTATATTCCTATTTTCTAAATTATTATTATTATTATTATTTTTTTTTTTTTTTTTGAGACGGAGTTTCACTCATGTTACCCAGGCTGGAGTACAATGGGCGATCTCAGCTCACCGCAACCTCCGCCTCCTGGATTCAGGCAATTCTCCTGCCCCAGCCTCCTGAGTCGCTGGGATTACAGGCACGCACCACCGTGCCCAGCTAATGCTTTTTGTATTTTTAGTAGAGACGGGGTTTCACCATGTTGACCAGGATGGTCTCGATCTCTTGACCTCGTGATCCACCCGCCTCGGCCTCCCAAAGTGCTGGGATTACAGGCTTGAGCCACCGCGCCCAGCCCTATTTTCTAAATTATAATGAATTTGAATTCATAAAATTATATTGAAATTTAATTATCCATCAAAATATTACAAAGCAAATTTTGTCATATAATAATGCAAGCGGTTTATCAATGCACTAAATATGACTATCTAAAGGTAGATCTGATAACTAGTATAATTCTGATGTGATGATGAGCATAGATGATATTTTGAAATATTTGCAACATTGTGAGATGATATGAAAATATCAGTAATTTCTCTTCATGACAAATTCCTATATGCTGCGAATACTGCTGTAGTTGTCTACTAATAATTGATGCATGTGCTAAGTTTGGTGAAACTAAAAATGTAACTCATAAATCCCTGGTTAAGCCTGC